TCGATTTTACATCTCGATCTTCTGAGTCTGTCATTCATTCTTTGGGTGTTCTTGGTACTCTTATACTTGATATATACACTAACTCATAGGTTAACCGTTTTAGTTTTTAGGGATTGATACATTCTTTAATAGTATACAATTTATTGATCTGTTCTATTCTTTCGCATTTTCTGATTCTATGGTTTATATTTCGGGTCTTCTTGATATTACAATACTTAGTACACACAATAAGGCTTAGATTTACCGTTTCAGTTTTTCGAATTTTGCAATAGTATACATGTGTATAACTTTTTTCAATTTTGATTTTTTTAATTTTGATTTTTTGGATTCTGCGGTCTATATTTTGGGGGTTCTTGAGATTGCTATATATGGTATATATAATAAGGCGTTCGCTAACCGTTTCCGTTTTTCGAAATAATTTTCTAATAACACACTTTTTAAGGCCTTTTCTATTCTTCGGATTTTGATTATTTTGATTATTCTGATTCCGCGGGGTATAATTTGGATTGTCTTGGTATTACTATACATAGGACATATAATAAGGCACACATTTACCGTTTTAGGTTTTCGAATTTTACACCATATATTTTAGGGTGTTAATCTAGTTTTTCGATTTTTCCGACTCGAGTATTTATCCTCTGGGTTTTCTTATTACTCTTAAATATGATACATACTTTAAGGTATACATTTACCGTTACGGTTTTTCGAATTTTACAATATTACTGATTATGATATTATAATATGGAACACATTCACGACTCAAATTTATACTGTTCGTTTTATATGAATTGGACATGAGATGTCAGTTTTATGTCTTATATATATCCCTGGTTTTATTATGTGGTGATTTATTAGGGTATGATTTATTACTTTGAATTTTCTTGTTTTATTAATTATAATTTATTATGGTGTGATTATTTTGAATTTTCTGGTTTTATTAATTATAAGGAGTGGTCTTTTGATCTGTCGATAGAGGGTTTATACATTAGGTTATAATTTCATCGTTTCAATTTCGTAAAAAATTTTGTTTATAAATATATAGCTCTGATCATGATCGTTATGTATATTTTTGTATTTAAAGATAATATATTATATAAAATTATTAACTATATAATTTACATAGCTTATATAATGAATGGCATTCCATAGACCAGCAATAATAATTGTGATAACTTCCATAATGATTTATTTTCATATTTTATTGAGCATACTGTGATAACTTCCACTATTATTTACGTTTATTGTTTATCTTTTCCTACATGCATTGTCGATAATTTTTTATAGTGTTATTTATTGTTTTTAGTTAAAAATTTATGATATGTATCGGTTATAATTACTTGGGAGTCAATACGAATAATTTTAGGTTACTGTACACATTTCTAATTTTGGAATTTACTTATTTTAATAATTTTCATAATTCAACGTTAGTGCATGCTGGTAATAATTCATGAGCAACATAACTGTGACAATATATGCGTGCTTATATGTGAAATATAATATTATGTATTTGATAAATATACATGGACATGAACACTTATACGGTAATGCTATAATTTATTGTATACGAATAGGTCTACTACTACTATGCCTAACTAAGTTATTATACAATTTTTATATTACTATGCATTTAAATAATAATTTATTATAATCCTATTGGACTCTAGAATTTAATTTAATTGCCTGCATTATTTTATTCCTCTAGTGATACTTATTAAACTGTATATATTCAACCTTTTATATTATTATGTTTACTTCTAGTTATATTTCCAGAATTTAATTTAATTGCCTGCATTATTTTATTCCTCTGCAGGTATATATATATATATATATATATATATATATATATATATACAGTAGTGCTCAAAAAATTGTGAACACTCACATATTTCATGGGAAACATGAATAAATTTGCTTGTGAATCGAACAGATTAAAATGTTTAGGTAGCAATCTTTCATCCTTAATTAGAACTATTATTCCTAACATAAATTATGAAGGTTTTGTAAAGTTTAAGGTTTTAATATAGGAGAAAAAAGAATATGAACCAGAGAACCGAAAATTAGCTAAAAATCTGGTAAATTGGAAGTTGTGAATTGAGCTTCAGTAATTCATCTTACTTACTATTTTATTGTCGTCTGGTAGCTATAAATACTCTATGGTTGTCTAGGTAACGCGTGGAAAAGAAATATTTGCAAAAGCTAGTTTAATTTTGCTTATTTGTTTTTTAGTTTTTTAATTTTAGGAAATTAATTGATTTTTTGCTATAAGTCATGCCTAAACGTGCTAGAAAAGATCTATCAGATGATTTAAAGCAGTCAATAATAAGAAGTGTTGCGAATGGATTGACTTACCGTCAAATATCACACTATTTTGGTGTTTCTGTGGATCTGTGCA